ATATATATATATATACATATATGGATTCTGTTTTTTTTTATCGTTTGCCATTTGTCGAAATAAATGGCTTTTACTTGTATTAATAATATTTTACTTAATAGTATAAATATATACTATGTAGTTGTTGGGCTTAGGATTCTTCTACAGTAGGTGTCTGTGACTTGTTATCAATAAATTCAACAATGAATAAACAGCACACACTTTACTTGTTTTCAAAAAATATAAATTAATCACTAATATTTAAACCAAACAGTCTTTTATATCATGACACAGGCACAGTAAAGGATACCCGGGGCAATAGGGTTAAATGGACCCACCCTTTCAACTTTATAATAAAACAGATTATTTTGCATGACAACTCCATACTGTCTCTTCTTATCTTTAAACAGAGTTGGAACTACAGACTGAAGATCGTCTTTGGGCTTGTCAATTTCGTTCTACGATTTTAAAATACAATATCCAGATCTCTCTGTATATTAATGAAAGAGATTTCTTTTTACTTACAGTTTCATCATCTATGATAATTGAGGGGAAAACTTCCTTCAATAGTTCCATCACTTTCTTCTGTTCTTGCCTAACTAGAGCTGCAATCTCCTAAGTGAAAAATATTGGTGTGTAACTCAAGCTATGTTCAACATGTAATTACTAATTATAAAAAGCACTTAGTAACTGTTAATAAAACAACATACAAGGCTTATAAAATACATTTATAAAACAATCTTTGTAATGTTCTAGTTTTTCATTTACTTCATGATGTATTAGAAAAAGAGATCAATAACAAATACACACAACAAAATTTTTCATGATTACCTCTTTCAGTTCTTTCTCCTGATTGATGAACTTCTCTCTCCATGTTTGTTCTTCTATCTCTACTTCAGTTCTTAACTTCTTGAAGGATTCCTCCTTAATATTAGTAAATCACAATGGTTAGAATACTTAGAAAGATCTCCCCCTGAATATTAGTAAATCACAATGGTAGCAATACTTAGAAAGATCTCCCCCTGAATATTAGTAAATCACAATGGTAGCAATACTTAGAAAGATCTCCCCCTGAATATTAGTAAATCACAATGGTAGCAATACTTAGAAATATCTCCCCCTGAATATTAGTAAATCACAATGGTAACGATACTTAGAAAGATCTCCCCCTGAATATTAGTAAATCACAATGGTTACAATATTCAGAAATATCTCCTCCTCAACATTACTATATCATCAGTTACAATACAAGGGTTAAAACACTTAGAAATTTCTCCTCCTCGATGTCAGTATATAACCAATTAGAATACTTAGAATTCCCTTCCCCTGAATGATTTTGAAATACTTCAGATCTAAATCATTGATGAGTAAATTATGACTAGTTGTAATTGTTGTAAACTGTTTTTAATACCTTGAATAACACATGGTAAAATAAAGTTTAAATCATCCACCATAATAGAACCCCATCAAGTTATATGGATACAAATTTTGATATTTTCATGTTTTATGTTCAGTCATATGTTTGACTAAAGAGGACACGAGAAAGTGTCACAACTTGTATCCATATAAATATTTGATGTTGTTCCTTTAGTGTGGATATCTTTAAGTTAGATTAATTTATATGGTATTGTGTGTTTACGTGCTATTAGAATATACCAGTAAACCCTCACACACACAATACTATTTAATCTAAACACTTTTATCTTCAAAAATATACCAGTATACAATGACCAGTTATATCCATTATAAAATGTTTTTGCTTGATTAAAACACCAAGAAACCACATAGTTAGAAAACTTACTTTTACATTTATCCTGTACAAAACACTAAAAAAACACCACACCAGCAAGACGGATACATATCATGGAACCAGAACACTAAGGAAAACTATCTCAAACTTCACTTGTATCTTAGTACAAAAAAAGAATAACTTAAATATGAAACATCTATTCTTTTTGCTCTACTAACTTATCAATGATAAAGTTAAAGTAACTATTAGCATTAAATTTAAAGTTTTTAAGAATGTTTCTATTATACCCCTTAGTTACTTTTTTAAATCAATTTCATACCTGTGACAAAAAAACACGTCATTGATATATTATAGTTTTGTAAATAACACATAACAATTATGGTTTAGTTGTGGTTAATCATGAAGCAATGGGTTATATCTGTACTCTGTCCATCATTAGCATCAAAACCCAAATTTTAACATCATAAGCCTTCAGACTTAACGCTGAGCCACCAGGCAGGACAACAACTAACAAAACAAATACCAAGCTCTTACTCACTTGAACCTCATAAGACCCCTAGAAAACTGAATAATAATCTTTGTTCACAACTTGTGTGATCTTATACTCTCGGTACAGTATCACTCACTCTGTTTATTATCATTGCTTTTCTCACCTTTTCATGTAGAGAATTGTTACACTGTTCCACTTGAGAGGCTAATGTTTGTTTTTCTTCTTCAAGTTTGACAATTTGTTCCTTTAGAAGTTCTGTATCTGTGCTGTTTGCTTTCAGCTGTAGCTCATCTAACATTTTCAACACTTCACTTTCAAAACAACTCAGCCACTGACAAAAATCCTAGGAGTATAAATATGTTGCAATTCTCAGCCTGAAATTTCATCCTTATATAAATAGTCATCATAAAAAATATTTTCACTAATACTTCTGATAATATCAGAAGTCACATTCATAGAGTCAAATTACTTAATTGAACATACATGACTTACAAAGTCTTCCCATCAGACAACAGGGTAGAACAGAGTCAGGTGACTAAACCGACTGTTTAAAGCTGTTTCTAGAAAGAAGTGTTGAACTACAAGGGTTGCAAGAGCAACAGTTTTTCACTAAACTATAAGTCATGTGTTTTGCTGATACAAATCTTGTTAAACCCGTGGGTTATAAACAAACTAAAGAAAATGCACGAACTCTACTACACAATATGTCTAATATTTGATACTAGATGGAAGAAACTAGATCTTTGTTAAACAAAAGCTGTAGATGTCCTTAACTGAAAAAATACAGCTGTTACAATACAAAATAACCAATACTTGTTTGTTGAATAAAATGCATGGTTCTGGATTAAACACTGAGCTTTCAAATATATTAAGTCAAAAACATAGAGATAATTCTATTTTCAAGAAACTTTCAAATAGTTTAAATAACTTGTATTTAAACAATATATTCCTTACTAAATTGTAAATTTAATATTTGTGATTTTACAAACATTAGACTTTTAAAAATGACTGTTACTGTAATATCTAAATAAATACTCAGCTTCTGTAGTACATAATTTAAAACTTGCTTAGTATAGATTTTTTTTATAGAGAGAAATTAATAACTAAGAAACTGTATTATTATTAAGCATATCCTAGGTAGCAACAGTTTCTGTAGGATGTTTACATTCGAGCACAGAATTCCTTCTTACTCTCAAGTAACAATGACATACCATTTTGTGGTCTAGGTTAATTGTAGGGAACAATCTCTTCAAAAGTTCCACAACATTCTGTTGATTTTCTCTAACTTGGGATTTCATCTTCTGCACCAAAAAACAAATCAATTAATAAAGAATCTATCTCATAACATTTCAGCATATAATAACTTTTATTGAAATAAATTCTAGTTGATTTATTAGCTCTACTAATATTCTATTAACAGTATGCAACATTCTTTCTTTTTTACAGTAACAAGAAAAATCCCAAAAGGAATATCCTAGATATCATTACTCAATATATATATATTTATATAAAGATAAATATTCAGCAAATATCTAAACATATCTCATAAATAAGAGAGAGAGAGAGAGAGAGGGCCTGCTATTCTAAAAGTTGAGAAAGTTCCAAGCAAGTAAAAGTACCTATCTATGTAAGTGACAGTTTTCAAGGGAAAAACTGCAAAGGAAGGGTTAATTCTTATGAACACACTACTTACAAGTCTCAGTGTTCCTTATCCAACTCTAATTTTGAAAGAAGGACTACGAATATCAGTTTTCTAAAAAGTTGAAAAAATTCTGAACTAGCAAACTAAAGTTGATGAAACATTATTTCTACAATAATTAACAAATGAAGACTGTATAAAGATTAGTTCTTACTTCTTCATGCTCCAATTCTTTATTAGCAGCTACAGCTTTCCAGTTTTCTTCTTCTCTTGCTGCTATTTTTTGGAGGCTGATTAGCATTGCTTCCTTAAAACATTAGATAAAATCACATTAAGTTTCATCTACAAGTTTACAAGAGCTAATCATACATTTAAACAGAACCAACATTGCTTACACAAGTCTACTTAAACAAGTTCAGCTCCCACCAAATGTAATAAATTGTGTATAACGTGCATTTAAGAACATTTTTAACCCTTAAAACAAAAGTTAACTATGCAGTTTTTATATAAATAAAATATATTGCTTCATTATCAGTATCTGAACAGTAAAACATAAGAGATGGAGAAACAGTTCCTTCTATAATAGTCACCATATAATAAACATGAAGTTTAAACAAAACAGCTACCACAGTTTCAGGGACCATGCGGCCCGGTGGTAGTAACGAAACAGCTACCACAGTTTCAGGGACCATGCGGCCCGGTGGTAGTAACAAAACAGCTACCACAGTTTCAGGGACCATACGGCCCGGTGGCAGTAACGAAACAGCTACCACAGTTTCAGGGACCATACGGCCCGGTGGTAGTAACAAACAGCTACCACAGTTTCAGGGACCATACGGCCC